GAGGACCCCACGGCGCCAAGAGCACCCCAGGTAGTGCGCGCTAGCGCTGGCCGAGCAGGGACGGCCCCGAGGCAGTTCCGCCCACCTGGCGGCGACCTTTCGGTCACGGGTGAGAATCCGAAGCGTGAGCAGCTTCCTCGAAGTAGTTTCACTCGAAATGAAATCCCCGCCCCCCAGCTTAAATCAAAGCGGGCTCATACAACCCCCACCAATGGGATTTAAACCAGCCTATCAGCCCACCTAGGAATACTGCAGGGTGTAAACCCGACCACTCCCTCTCTCCCTGGGATACGCAAAGTGGAAGGGCGGAGATAAGGTCTCCCCGGGGTCCGAGCCGCCCCGCCCCAGCCAGCACGCGGCCCCCTTCGCTCCAGCCCTCAAGCTCAGGGGCCCTCTCCTCCAGGACCCCTAGAATTGCATCTGGGAGAGGTGGGCACAGGATTCTCGCTGTTCACCAACCTCCCACCGGCCCCCATAAAAGCAAAAAGTTGTCTGCCCCGCCTGGACCCTGGTGGCTTTAAGCGTTTCCGCTGAAGGACTTGATGGGCGGCTGCAAGCCGCCCCTCGCCAGGAGAAGCAGCCTCCAAGTTCGCCCCGCATGGCTGTCTCCGCGGCCCCGTGCCTCTCCGGTTCCCACGAGCCCGGGCCAAGAGGCGAAACCGCCACCGAAACCAGCGCCGAGCGTCCTCTCCCCGCGCCAGCACTCCAGACAGAGGCGTCGCGGTCCCCCCGGCGCCGCGCCCAACTCTCACCTCCTCAGGGCAGCCAGGCCCGACCCTCCAAGGACCGCGAGAGCCAAGAAGCGCGCTCACCCGGAGGGCACACCTGGTGTCGTGCAGACTCCCGCAAGCAGCCCGGGACTGAGCTAGGGACCCACCCCTCCTCCTCCCCCTTTGCCCCCGCCGCCACCCAGCCATTCTGCCCCCGGGCATGCGCACCAACGCCAGGCCTGGGTGCTGGAGGTCCTCTCCCCCGCGGCGCGGAGCCCCACCTGCTTCGCCCTGCGCGGGCTCTTTGACGTCCGGTCTAGTTCTCCTGGGAGTCCGGCCGCCTCCTCCAGAGGAAGGAGAAAGGGGGAGGTGGACGCTGACAAGGAGGTGTGGTGTGGTAGCCTCCTCCCTCGGTGACCCATTCACCTGAAACTCCGATAGGAGGGGGAAGGGAGCGGTGGAGAAGCAGGCGGGAGGAACCCGCCGGTCTCCGCACCCCCTTGCAGCGCGCGGAATTAAAGGAACAGCGGCTCGTTTCAGCTCGAGGGGGCGGGGACCGGGCGCGGAGGGGTGGCGTAAGGTGGGGATTCAGGCTTCCGGAGGGTGTCGGGGGCGGGGGAGTCCTGGACCCCCGGGGACCGCTCGGAGCTTCGCGAGTTTCAGGTAGAACAATGGAGTGTTTGACGAGTGAGGTCTGGAGGGGACTGTTTTCCTTCTGCAGACTGTCCAAGGGCGCTCAGCACTTTGGCAAGAAAGGCACGTCCTCACACAAAACTTTCCTGCTCCAAAAACTTGGTTAAAGTTTTGTTGGAAAGAAGCATCCGGATGTGAGAGATTTTCAAAGTCATGCGTAAATTTAGAAACTGTTTCTGAGTCTCTGGATCCAGATAAAGACCATTCATTATGCAGGGTGGTTCAATGAAGGTGAAGCACTGTGTAAATACCAGTGTCGGTAAATTTGCCATCAAAATTAAATGCATACTACAATATACATTATTACCATTTCAAGGTCCTCTACCCTTCCTCCCTAAATCTAACTATGGTATGATTGAAGTCGGCTGGCTCTTGAGGAGATTTAAACTATTTTAATATTCTCTTTGGCTTTAAAAACAAACAAACCAACCCCAGTTCTGTGTGCTGTGTTCTATTTCTTGATCTGGAGGCTGTTTCTTAAGGAGCGTACAATTAAGAACAGTAGTCTACACTTAACGATGTGTACACTTTTAAGTATGTATGTTGTATTTCGATATTTTTTCATTGTACTCCTGAGTGTGGTAATTCTGGTTATCGCTATTTAACTATTGCATTGAAGGCTAAAATTGAGGTTTCTTAAATCCTGCTTTACTTTTGTATTCCAGTCTGGAATGTCAGCATTGCTGATACATTTCTGTTCAATTCCACCCACACTTCACTCCTCTGATTAAGTGGTTAGAGATGTGACTCTCCCATGCATTACGATCTTTTAACGCACCATTCAATACTTAAGGAAGTAGAAGCATTATGTAAATATAAGGTATTTTAAATGATGACAGCCTGAAATCGGTAATTAATGTAATTGGTATTCCTTTCGTGGAAGTCATTGCTAGAATTACTTTAATATGACTATGTAGTTTTTGAATGATGCCGTTTAAATTGGTTTTGTTAACACTGGGGAAGTCAATTTAATCCTCTTAATGTTCCCTGTCAGATTACTGAAATCTCCAAACATTCCAGTCGGTTTATAATTAGACAAGGGAACATTTCCTAATACTCTCAGAGTTATAAACACATGTCTATTATTTTATAGTGTACTTGGACATCTGGAGAGGAGAACTTTAAGTTCTTTAAAACTGAAATATATTTCACATAACATAAAACTCACCCTTAATTTTGTTTTTTTTTTTTAACACTTTTGTTGTGGTATGGTTCTTGCACAGTAAACTGCACATACTTCAGATGTACACTTTGATGAATTTTGATAGATGTATACACCAAAGAAACCACTACCACAATCATGATAGCTAACAAAATCCATCCTTAATTTAAAAATGTGTATACAATTCAGTGGGTTTTGGTATATTCACAAGGTTCTATAACTACCACCACTATCTAATTCTAGAACAATTTCAACACCCAAAAAGAGACCCTATGTGCATAGCAGTCACTTCTTGATTCCTCTTGCTTCTAGACCCTGGCAATCATTAATCTACTTTCTATTTCTACTGATTTGCCCATTCTGGACATTTTATATGAATTGTTAATACAATATGTGGCTTTTTGTCTGGATTCTTTCCCTTAGGATAATGCTTTCAAGTTTCATTCATGTTGTACTACCCACTGGCACTCCATTCCTTTTTATGGCTTAATAATATTCCATTGCATGGATGTACCACTTTTGTTTAAACCTTCATTGGAAGCACATATGTGTTGTCTCCACTTTTTGGCTGTTATGAATAATGCTGCTGTGAACATTCATGTACAGGTTTTTGTGTGAATATATTTTTTAATTCTCTTAGGCAAATTAGTTAAGTTAAACTTTTTATCATTTCAAGAGACTAACTTATGCATATCATGTTACTTTTCTTATTTCCACTTTACACCTAAATCCAAAGACATGTTAGGATGGAAAGTTAGTGACCATATTTTATTTGCTTCCCTAATTCATTCATTCAACAACCATTAAGTAGTCAACAAAACACCCAAATCCCTGTCTTAGCAAAAATTACACTCTAGGTACTGCTGTATTCATGCATATGGAATAAAGGAATTTTTAACTTAAGCTTAAACTGGTAATAGTTTCAGATCATTTTAAACTGCAAAATGGCAGTTTCATTTGGTTCAGCTTTATACTAAGCTAAATTTCTGTTGGAGTGTTGTCTATCATTTTTGTTCCATCCAGATTAATTTTCCAAACAATGCTAACATTGAGAAATCTAGAAACTGTTCTTTTAACAACTACCTAATAGCATGCATATTAGATAGTAACTGAAAATGTTGAAAAAGAAGATCCAACCTTAAAACCTACACCCATCAGTAGCAAAACAATATTTTTTGGATAAAAGATGATGCCATGCTGAATGTAATCATGTTACATAATCATAACCTTTATCAAAATTTTAATTAGTCAAATATTCCTTCTTGGCAACTTTTAATAGTATTATCCACTATTATCCACTAATGAACATTATTTGATGAAAATCCTCACCAGTCAGAAACAAAGTAAATATTATTCTCAGAGGACCCATGGTTAGAAATTTGTTGACTTTACCTGCAGTCAAATGAGTAAGATTAAAAAAGCAATTCTTTTATTCCTTTTTATATGTAAAGGAGAAAGTTAAGAGCTCAGACTATGGTGTCAGAAATTTGGATTCAAAATCTCAGTGTTGCCACTTATTAGCTGGATGGGAAATTAAACTCCTAAGCTTCATTTTTCTCCACTGTAAATTTAGGATGCTATTACACAGCACTCTCTTCATAAGAGTGTTGGGACTCATGTGGACCATTCACCAAGTCAGACCACATGCTAGCATGAAAACAAGTCTTAATACATTTAATAAGTCATTGCTGTATCCCGTCTGCCTGAGACACTCCCTGTAATGTCACACAGTTATTCTATAAATATTTGTTGAATGAAAGAATGAATATACTCCTGATTCCTGAATCTGACACGCCTGTGGCATCGTGTCCATTGCTCACATAGCCTGCTGCACTGTGAAAACAGCACATTCCTTAATAGCATATCAAGGCTTATAGCTCTAGTACTAGCACTTAGAAGAGAAAAGACAAGGGATGAGAATGTTTCTACTCAGTCTCACCTGCTTAGTGGATGAATTCAATGACCAGTATCTGTGCAAGAGCAACTCAATTTGGAGTTGCTGCGGGCCTGGCCCAAAGGGCGTCCGGGTTCCCCTCCCAGGCATGAGGTGGGAGGCTCCCAGCCCACAGAGGACAGTTTCCTAGGACAGATTTATGGAGGAATTTAAGGGGAAGTCACCAAGAAGGCAATTTCTGAGAGGATGATGACATTTGATGAGTAAAGCTCTATCTCCCCAATTCCTGTGTATTAGGCAAGAGCCTCCCGGAAGAATCTAAGATTAAACAGAGTCAGCATCTGAACTGGAACTTTAAGAGTAGAATAATAATAGTAATCACCATCATTTACTCAGGGTATCCATGTGCCAGGCACTGTACTGTGTGCTTTATGGACTTTTTCCTTTATAGCAGTTTTGTGATGTAGTGTTATTTTCCCTGTTTGTGAAAACCTAAAGATTAGAAAGTTTTGATCATTTACTCAAGATATCTACTAAGCTGTAGAGTCAGGATTCAAAAACAGATTATTTAATTCCAGCACTAATTTTTTTTAACAGTTTTACTATACTTTAGGGCTGCTTTTTGTCTTTAAAAAAAAAAAAAAACACTCCACACTTTTAAAAACTACCAATAGGAAGATTTCAGAATGCAGCTATAGAAAAAAAAATCCTAAAAAAACCCCACAAAAAACTGAGCACAACAGAGTGTTAAGGTTGAGAATGAACCAATCAGAGCTACTCCCAACAGGATGAATCATTCAAACATAAATTTGAATAAAGAAGCTCCTCCCCAGTACAGTATGATTCTATAGATATAATTTCAAAAACAGGCAAAACTGAAGTACATCATTTGGAGATTCATAAATACAAAGAAAAGCAAAAGAATTGTTATCATAAAAGTCAAGAGAGTGGTTCCGTAGGAGAAAGGAGAGGGTAAGCATGGGAAGACAGGGTGCCGGCAACATCTGTTTCTTCGCCTGTGTGCAGTTACACAGCTCTGAGCCTTACAACAATTTATTTAACTATATACATATGCTTGGTGCACTTTTTGGTAGGAATTTTATATTTTATAATTTAAAAAATGTATTTAAAAGAATAGAGTTTAGAAACATTGTTAAAAGGTGGTTGGATACCCACGTGCAGGTGTTCTGTTTTGTGAGTAACATTCCTCAAATAACAGCAGAAGATCACCTTGTAGGATTGGAGGAAATTGAGATTATCATCTGAAGAGGGGGAGGGAAGGTTTCGATCCGGACAGAATATTTCTATAATTATATGGATGATGCAGACAGAGATTTGGAACTGATTTTTTGGTTTTTTAATTGCATCAGTCATCCATTGCAGTGGAAAATTGGCCTTACAGGCTTTTCAGAAACCAGTCGTCCTGAAAATTTTAAGGTCAAAAAAGGAAAGAGGAAAAAGTAAACGTTAACCAAATACTGCGAATGCTGTGTTCTTGTATCTAATTTTAATTTCTCGGGGCTCTTTACCTCTTGTGTCCACAAATGTTAAAAAGTACTAATAGTAAGCTTGTAGCTTAGCACAAGGACTCCTAATCCTAGAAATACCACTTGGATTGGTTTGGTATGAAACTGATATACTCTAAGCAGACTACCTACTTCCTGTGACAGTCTGTGGGTTATAAGACACGGTTTCTTATCCACTACAGGGGCGTCCACATGCCAGCTTTTCTGATGTTATTTGGAATTTCTTCA